TTCAACTATTAGTGCCATTCAAAACCTTAGTATGACAATATTATATTTAATAAAAATTTTAAGAAATAAAATAAATTATCATGTGAATTAAGGTGCATCTTGTTTGAAAACGKTGTATTTTAAAAATATGACGAATCGATCTAATGGTTTTTGTAAAACGAACGCTATGCAGCGTCCAGCACAACATTTGAAAAAATGACAATTTCATTTTTTATGGTATAGCACAGTAACATATTTATGATATACATATATATATATATGAAATAATATATGTTCGATGTAGATTTTTACATCCTTTGTTTTGAAKTTGCATACTTTTCGCAGTAGGAAAAACATTCCATGTAAGAATTGCTGGTTACACCTTGATCCACAGAATCCCATACATATTATAATACACAATAAATATACTATACCTACCTAAACATAAAAACTTTTATGTGTACTAGAGTCATGTTGAGGTTTATAATATACGTAAGTATGATTAAGTTGTACAAAACGGTGGGTGTGTCTTTATAGTTTTTACATCGTAGTCTCGATCAGCACATCATTCTAAATCTAAAAGAAAAACTGTGAAATACTGGAATTCGATGATTCACGCTTGTATAAGCAATGTAGAGAGAAGAAAGTAGAGACAATACTATTCTATGATATCAGATCAATGGAAATGTGATGAATAAACATAATAATATAATTATTATAATTATTCATAATTTTTTTTTTTTTTTGATGACTCATTTCACTGCACATATATACTGCATAATGCCATTGCAGTACATATATATTACTATGTCAATGATAATATACTCAATATTTGTGTTAACATATTTAATTCAATAAATTATATATAAAAAACTACTGACTAAATGGTAAAATGTAAAATTATACTAAAATTTAATTTTCTCAGATATATATATATATAGAGATATATTATCATTATTGTTTGCTAAGTAAAATTATTGATATATAATTGTAACTTGCAACTTGAAGTATTGAACTTTGTATAATTTTTGACTGTATAATAT